ATAGAATGACAATTTTGTCAGAGAGGGCCTGACAACATCAAAGGGGTTAAGATATACAATTTATGAGGTATCAGTTATTCAGTATTTATATTGGTTTTGGGTGAGTAAGTGATCTTTGAGAAGAGACTTGAATTTATAAAACAGGTATGTGTTTCTTTTATATTTACAGGTAATGAATTTTTCCAGATTTTAGGGCCCTTTATGATGCATTGAGTTTTTGCATAGCGTGAGATGCGACACGAGGAACATCAAAGCAATGATCATGTGGCCTTCTGTGTTATGGGCATGTTTCTGTTGAGGTTGGCAAGGAGATGTTTGAGGGGAGGGGTTCTATACATCAGAGTTAAGTGTTCTAGTTTGTAATACAGGGCAGTAATAAGTATTGGAATGTTTTGTATGTGAGTAAGGTTTAGTTGTAATTAGAATATTGGTGGAGTGTGCAGCTGTATGAGAATTTGTTATCATTCTAACATGCAGCCTTTGTTGGGTAAATTAATTGGTCTGAAATGGTTAATTGTTTTTTTGAGTCCCCATGCACAAATTCCCATTAGGTGAGATAGGGGAAATAAGAGTGATATAGGGCCAGGAGGGCTAAGACTGTGAGCATAGTACCGTATTCTTCGATAGTAATGCCCTACAGATCTTGGAAATTTTCTTAGAAATTTGTGTATATGTGTATGATATTTGAGTCTATATATCAAGGTGGGATTCCTAAGAATTTCCCTCTTTAGCTTTGTGATAGGTGATCCGTTTAATCATTATACATTCAGAGTGACATCAGTAGCTTCTGTTACCAAACTGATAACGTAGGTTTTGTCATGTTTAAGTGTAAGTTTGTTATCCTCACCAGGTAGAAATTTCTGTAATTCGGGATTGTACAGCAACAGGCTAGCGTGACTGGGCTCGGGTGGGAGAAGACTAAGTAGTGTCATCTGCAAATAGTGTGGGTTCATGAGTAATTGCGAAGCATTTGGTAGGTCATTTAGTATAGGAGAAAGAGAAGAGGGCCAAGGACACTTCCCTGTGAGGACACAACTGAAATTTTTTGTCCAGAAGAAGTTTGCCCCATTTGCGTACCATATAGGCTTCTGTTGCTGAGGATATGACTTGACAGGTAGTTAGGGAGTGCCTCCTTATACCATACGTGGTGACCATTTTACGTGGAGCAAGTCATGGTCAACTGTATCAAACGCTTTACGTAAGTCAATGAAGATCCCGTGGGACTTCTTTTTCTCTATTGCAGTGTATCTAGTTCTAGCATGTGTATAATAGCATCATCAGTATTTTATTCAAGGCCTGAAATCCATTGGCGGGGTTGTTACGTTTTGGGAGATAAGGTAGGGAGTAGATTCGTTTATGAATTAAATTTTTCAAAGATTTTTGCAGAGAGGGTGTAAGTTGGATATTGCCTTTAGTTATTCAACTCTTCTCTCAATCTCTTCATCTCCTCTTTGTGGATTCAGGTGGTGACCCTTGCTATTTTGAGTACTGGACAGGGAAGGTGTGGATTCAATGGATTTGTTTAAAGCATGTTGCAAGATTGGTGATAGCAACTTGTGACACTTTTTTGTATATAAAGGGTGGTAAGGTATTTAAATCTCCTGCATTCTTGTTTGTTTAGTGCGTTGATAATAAGGGGAACTTCGTATGGGTTAGTCGGGTAGGAACAGTGGGTCGGTAGTGCCGGTGAGGTAGTCATTTGGTGGGGTATCTGAGCTTGGACCAATTTTATGTAAAAAAACAGGTTTGTCCTATAGTGGAGAAGAAATCATGAGTCTGTTTGCTGTTTATTCTGTTGGTGGGAAGTTGGGTTCATCCTGATTTTGCTAATTTTTAATTTCGCTATTTCGTGAAATTTTCGTGAAATTATCTTAGCCTTCTTATCAGGCTGTTAGGACTGTACATAAGAACATAAGAAAGGAGGAACACTGCAACAGGCCTGTTGGCCCACACTACTGGCAGGTCCCTTCACAATCCATCCACTAAACAAAACATTTGCCCAACCCAATTTTCCAAATGCCACCCAAGAAAATAACTCTGATAACTCCTATCCACTCTCATATGCAGAAAAACCCTTCCTCCCCCCCCCACTCAAATCCAACACCCCTACCACTCATGTATTTATCCACACCTATATACATGAAACTGCCCAAGGTTTTAGCCTCAATAACCCAACCTAGTAGACCTGTCACTCATACAACTACCCTATTCCAAACACAATACTTTCCTACATCCCCTCTAAATCATCCCAAAAACCAATAAATACTGAATAACTGAACCTTATAAATTGGTATACTTAAATGTTTCTCACAATTATATCACATTAAATGTTTAACCTAAAACCAATCTAACTTTCTTATTTTTTAAATACAACTAAACCCCCTAAAACAAAGAATACTCCATTCTACTGAATTTACAACAATGCATGCAACGCATCATGACCTGTCCTTTGTAATACTCACTTTGCTTTATAGTAAATCAGTTTACATAAATAGTTTTTCAACTGATTTCATCATTGCTTATGTTAATACTAGTTAATTTTAAGCCACCCGTATTGCTATGCATAGTATATGTGGCTTGGCATGCTGCTCTTATCTGTATATTTTTTTGTACCTCTGTAAGTGTGCTCAAATTATACATAAATAAATAAAATAAATAAATATCTTTTTTTGTTCCCAGAATTTCTGATAAGAATTTTCCAGTCTATTTTATAATCACCTCGTACGTTGGAATAATCTGTTATTCCAAATAAAATTTTTGCCCTTCTTATCAGGCTGGTAGGACGACGTAAGACTATAAAAGGAGGAACACTGCAACAGGCTGTTGGCCCATACTTGCAAGGTCCTTTACAATCCATCCACTAACAAAACATTTGCCCAACACCAATTTTTTCACTGCAAAACAAAAAACGAAAACAAAGACACCCAAGAAATAAGCTCACTGAATAAACTCTATCCACTCTCAAATGCAATCCCACTCAAAGTCCAAACCCTTCTACAACTCAATGTCATTTTATCCAACCTATCATTTGAAACATGCCAAGGGTTTTAGCCTCAATAACCAACTAAGGTAGACTGTTCCACTCATCAACTACCCTATTTCAACCAATACTTCCATACTCCCTCTAAACTAAACTTGTCCAATTTGAATCCATTACTGCGGGTTTCTCTTGGAGAGATATCCTCAACACCCTGCTAATATCCCCCTTATTAATACCCATCTTCCACTTATACACTTCGATCATGTCTCCCCTCATCTTCGTCTAACAAGTGATGTAATTTAACCCTAGACTGTTTACGCCCGTATAAATACGTCTTACGCGCCACTGTTTCGACGTATCTACATACGCATAAATTCTAGCAGCTTCAACATCAAGCAGGAGAAAGCTGGAAGGCCCACATGTGAGAGAATGGGTCTCCATGGTCAGTGCGCACCATATAAAAAAATCGGGGGAGCCAGTAGTGCATGTGGACGAATGCAATTTCTCCGTTGTCCTTTTTTTCAGCAAGACCTAGCGGTAAGAAATATGTGATTCCCAGCAAATCTCTTGGGACTCTTCTCTCCCAAGTGATGCATCTATACATAATATTAACGAGAATTTTTCATCATTTTAAATTAATAATTTACATATATTTTTAAAAAATCTTGCAAAACCAAATGCGATAAAAATTCAGAAATAATTTGAATATTTTACATATCCTTCTTAAAAAATTCTCTTGAATCTTTGAAAAACTGGTAAAATGTGCTGAAACGATGGAATGTCAGTGAAGATCAATTTCATGGTTTTGAGGAGTTTGAGAACCAAAAGCAATGCCCAGTAACACAAGAAGGAAAGGGAGGATGGGAGGGGAGGGAGGGGAGGGGAGGGAGGGGAGGAGGAGAGGAAAGGAGGAGGAGAAGGAGAGAGGGAGGAGGAGAAGGAGAAGGGGGAGAGGCAAAGGGAGGAGGAGGAGGAGGACAGAAGGGAGGAAGGAAGAGGAGGACAAGGAGAGAGGAAAGGGAGGAGAAGGGAGGGAGGAAGGAGGAGAGGAGGAGGAATGGGGGGGGGGGAGGAGGAGGAGGAGGAGAGGAGGAGAGAGGAGAGAAGGAAGAAAAGAAGAACAGAGAAGAAGAAGAGAAGAAGAAGAGAAGAAGAAAAGACGAAGGAGAAGAAAAAGAAGAAGAAGACAAGAAGGAGAAAGGAGAAGAAGAAGAAGAAGAAGAAGAAGAAGAAGAAGAAAGACAGCAAGAAGAAGGAAGAAGAAGAAGAAAAGAAGAAGAAGGAGAAGGTGAAGGAGTAAAGGAGGAGAAGAGGAGAAGAGAAGTAGAGAAGGAGAGAAGGAGGAGAAGGAGGAGAAGGAGAGAAGGATGAGAATGAGCGAAGGAGGAGGAGAAGGAGAAGAAGAGAAAGGCGAGAAGGATAAGGAGAAGGAGAAGAAGGAGAAGAGGAGAAGAAGGAGAAGGAAGAAGCGGAGGAGAAGGAGAAGGAAGGAAGAGAAGAAGAAGAAGAAGAAGAAGAAGAAAAAGAGACACCGAAAGGAGAAGAACACAAGGACATACTTTCTAATAATTTCTTTTTTAAACTCAACAGCACTTTTTACAACTTTTCTTTTTGCTTGCATCTCTCTATCCTTCTTTGAACCCATGATGGCTTATCTCACAATTAAAACTGCAAAATAACAAAAAAGTTCACAAGATGCAAAATAAACGCTCAAGAGATGTTTACAGCACACAAGTTAGTGGCTATGCTGACTCATACCCACACTCTCGACCCACTGTCCTTTGCGCATTCCATGAGCACGTGACCTGAGCCACTCTGTCCCATTCCGTACATGTAAAAAGTTGTCCATCGACAACCAAGAGAATGTACGAAAACCAAGACATTTTTTTCTCTACCACCTCATTCGAAAACCGATTTATTCGGCAAGTAATGTCATTGACAACCAAGGTTCAACTGTAATTCTAAATATGGTTACAGTACTGTACACAAAGTTCATGCAAAATGATGTCAGTATACCAACCTCCATGACAACAGAGAGGTACTCATCTGTTGCCTGCTGCATCTGTGGGGAAATTGCTGTCAAGCCAGAAGAACCCAAATCTTTCAGGAGTTTTTCCTCAGCTTCTTGTATGTCTTTAATAGCCTCTCTGTAATTTCGAACTTCACTTAAGATCTTGCAACAGCCAGCTTCAGATCTACAAATAAAAATAAACATAAAATGTTTTTGTCCTTTGTTTTTCCTCTCTGTTCAGGGTCTCTCAATTACTCTTCTATAAACTTTGAAAGTGGACAACTAGAATTAACTAAACTGTATATAATACAAAAATGTCTAAACAGTAAATATACAGTAGAACCCCCGTATCCACTGATTCTGTATCTGTGGTTTCAGTTACCCACGACTTACTTTGGCCCAAAAATACCTCTTAATTTTGCATAATAATGGCCCCAAAGCACAAAACTAGAGAACCTGGCAGTTCTTCAGCATCTAAGAGAAGCCACAAAGTGCTTCCCATCAGTAAAAAGGTCACAATTCTCCACTTACGGTGCATAATATATCAGTTAAACTTTATAATAGGTATGTATAGAACTTATATATAGGGTTTGCTACTATCCACAGCAGGTCCTTGGAATGTATCCCCCGCAGGTCCTTGGAATGTCTAAAGACATTGGAGCAATCTACAGAGTACCTCACTCCAACATTCACTCATTTAGTAAAAACCTAAGACACACGATAACTGACAAAGAGATGAATAAACACCACCTGATACTTACAGGTGACTTCAACATAAACCTCATCTATGACCATGACTCACAAGTTCAGTGGACCCTCAGTTAACGACATCATCGGATTATGTAGAAATTGGATAATGACACGTTTTTGCGTCAAAATACTGGCTCAGTTAATGACAAAGAACTCGGTTAAAGTCATTCGTCCCGAATGCATCCGCACGCCATGAGCAGCCCGACCACTCCATGTACAGCCAGTGTGCCATTGTTTACAAGCCAGTGAGGATGATCCCACGCGTACATGTGATACATTTTGTATTATTCCATTGCTTTTAGTGCTTGTAACTGCTAAATAAGCCACCATGGGCCCAAAGAAAGCTGCTAGTGCCAGCCCTTTGGTAAAGAGGGTGAGAAACACTATAGAATTCAAGAAAAAGTTGGTAGAAAGATACGAAAGTGGTGGTGGTAGAGGGTGGTAGTGATGGTGGTACACCAGCCAGGGTACTTCCCCACATACCAGCCAGGGTACTTCCCCACACACCAGCCAGAGTATTTCCCCACATAACAGCCAGGGTACTTCCCCACACACCAAGCAGGGTACTTCCCCACACACCAGTCAGGGTACTTCCTCACATACCAGCCAGGGTACTTCCCTACATACCAGCCAGAGTACTTCCCCCACACACCAGCCAGGGTACTTCTCCACATACCAGCCAGGGTACTTCCCCACACACGATTTGATTTGAGTGGGACTTGCGCATAAGTGAATAGAATTATCAAAGCTTATTGCTTGGAAAGCACTGAAAATTGGGTTGGGCAAATATAATTCTGTTAGTGGGATGTTTGTGAAGGACCTGCCTAGTATGGGCCAACAGGCCTGCTGCAGTGTTCCTGCTTTCTTATGTGCAAACATTTATGGATGAACATCACCCTGATGCAGCTGTTGCAGGCCGTGCTGTCAACATCTACATTGACAATGTTGTGTCCCATTTTAGGGAAATTTTAAAGAGATGCCAAAAACAGATCTCTCTGGACAGATATTAGTGTCACAGGTGTGCAATGACTCTCAAGCTAGTCCTAGTGGCATTAAAAGCAAAGAAGGGAAGTAACCTCGGAAAAATACTTGGTACCTGAAGTCTTTATGGAAGGGGATTCCCCTTCCAAACAACAGTACACCTCCGTCCTCTCCCCTCCTCCTGTCTCATTACTCATTAATAAGTCTTCAATAGAGGTAAAAGTTATTTTAGTATTGTTTATTCTGCATGTCTCATTGTTTTCTGTGTAGGGAAATGTATATTTCATGTAAAAAAATTATTTTGTTTAATACTTTTGGGTGTCTGGAATGGATTAATTGGATTTCCATTATTTCTTATGGGGAAAATTAATTTGGATAACGACAGAATCGGTTAAAGACAAGCTCTCTGTAACGGATTAATGTCGTTAACTGAGGGTCCATTGTAAGTGAATTCACAAACACTATGAGCAGCTGCTTACTTCTGCCAACTATAACAAAACCTACACGAATCTCTGAGACAAGTGCCTCATTACCCAACCATATACAGTGGACCCCCGCATAATGATCACCTCCGAATGCAACCAATTATGTAAGTGTATTTATGTAAGTGCGTTTGTACGTGTATGTTTGGGGGTCTGAAATGGACTAATCTACTTCACAATATTCCTTATGGGAACAAATTCGGTCAGTACTGGCACCTGAACATACTTCTGGAGTGAAAAAATATCGTTAACCGGGGGTCCACTGTATGGATAAACACTATATCCCCATTAAAAGCAGGCATAATCACAGATAACACCACTGACCACTATCCCACCTTTCTCATAACCAACTTATCTAAACTGCCCCAGAACACAAGTAGGATCACATTCTGACTACATGACAAGTTATCAGTTAATAACTTTATTTCAGCATTAAGTAACATCAACTGGCAGAGTGAACTAGCAGTCAACCCCGATATTGATGAATGTGATAAGAGTTTTTTACAAAAAACCCAAAACCTCTATAACAGGCATTGCCCAATAAAAACAAAGCAGATCACAGCAAAAAGACTAAACAGCCCCTGGCTTACAAGCAGCATCCTCAAATCTATTGATAAAAAAAATCTATATGAAAAACACTATAGAATGGATCTAATAGCAAAGATCTGGCAAAACATAACTCATCAATACTAATTTAACCCTTTCAGGGTCCAGAGGCCAAATTTCAAAGTGTGCACCATGGTCCAAGAATTTTCAAAAAATAATTTTGTTATTTTTTCTTATGAAATGGTAGAGAATCTTTTTCTGAAGATAAAAAAACAAAAAGTACGAAATTTGATGGAAAATTGACAAAATTATGCTCTTGTGAATTTTCATGTGTCGGCGATATTTACGCATCGCGATTTTGCCAACTTTGACTACCATTTTAGGCCAATTACAGTATTCCAGTCAACCAAATTCTTAGCTATTTCACTAGAATTACTTCTATTCTATTGACTGAGCACAAGAAATCACCAAGTCAACTGTTTCAACAACAAAATAAAGTGACTGGAAATTGGTAATTTGGCCAATTTAATGCAAAGTTCAAAATATTCCAATTTCAAAATAGGGTCCAGAATAAGCAATGCAGGCATTCCTGGCACTAAACTAACATTTCCTCTGTTCATTAGCTACGTTTTCAGGCTTTACAAATGAATTCCATTTTGAGTTTTTACTCACATAATGAATTTTTATTCAAACCAAAAAATAGAAGATTTACTGTTATGCAATACTCTAATAATTGTATAAATAATATTACCACATTAGGAGGCCTGGTCACAGACCGGGCCGCGGGGGCGTTGACCCCCGAAACTCTCTCCAGGTAAACTCCAGGTAAACATTTGTGAATGTATATTAGACCCACCACCTGTCATGTATTAGACTTGTGAGGTCATTTATTTACTCTTGAACATTGGCAAAAATTTAACATTTCTGCTACTTTGAGCTGAGTTTCAAGCCATTTCCCGTACTAAAACCAATCAAAATCATCTCTATTTCTGTAGTATATCTTTCATTCTATCAAATGTGACCAAGAAATTGCATAAACAACTAAAAAAACATATGAAAAAACACTGCAAATTCGTTGTTTTAATCGAAAATTACGGTCTCAGTTTTTTTCTCTCATTATGCACTGTGTGCTGCAGGACTTGTTTTATGTGGTGCACACATACCACATAGATGTATTCTCTCATATCTAGGCCCAAATTTACTGCTCACAGCTTATCAGAGTGAGCTGAGTTCATGGCATAGATCTGTTTGGACCCTGAACATAAAGCCGTAGATCTACGGCACGGACCCTGAAAGGGTTAATAAGGAGGTATAAAAAAAAATTACGAAAACAGATTTCATGACATAAAAGGTGATGCGAAAAAGACCTGGAAAACCTTATCTGATATTCTAGGATATGAAAAGTTGTTTCAAAACAGAGTGATTAACTTAATGAAACCAGAAGAACCTCTCCTCCAGCCAATAGATACTGCCAACAAACAAAAAGTCTTTTTCTCGACCGTAGGAACAAAGCTAGCAAACAAAATCCCAAACTCAAACACTCAGCCAAAAGGCTATCTCACTGGTAACTACCCAAATACAGTGGTCCCTCGACAACCGTAAGGCTCGATAGTCGTAATTTTAAAAAATCATAACATTATTTTCGTCAAAACATTGGCTCGCTAATCGTAGTTTGACTCGTGAATAGTCGTTCGTCTGGGATGCGTACTCTCAGCTCTGAGCCGTTCCCAGCCAGTGTGCCATTGTTTACCAGTGAGCGACGGTCCCCTCACTTGTTCATAAGAAATACAGTGGACCCTTGCATAGCGCTATTAATCCGTTCCTGAGAGCTCAATGTTATGCGAAACTATCGTTATGCGAATTAATTTTCCCCACAAGAAATAATGGAAATCAAATTAATCCGTGCAAGACACCCAAAAGTATGAAAAATTTTTTTTTTTACCACATGAAATATTAATTTTAATACACACAAACTGAAGAAGCCATGCACAATTACATGACACCTTTATTGAAGATCTGGTGATGATTGATGGGATGAGAGGAGGAGAGAGTGTAGATCTTCTTAGTGTTTAGAAGGGAAATCCCCTTCCATTAGGACTTGAGGTGTCAAGTCCTTTTCCGGGGTTACTTCCCTTCTTCTTTTAATGCCACTAGGACCAGCTTGAGAGTCACTGGACCTCTGTCGTACAACATTTCTGTCCATAGAGGCCTGTACCTCTCGTTCCTTTATGACTTTCCTGAAGTGTTTCACAACATTGTCAGTGTAATAGTCACCAGCACGGCTTGCAATAGCTGTGTGAGGGTGATTTTCATCAAAAAAGGTTTGCACTTTAAGCCACATTGCACACATTTCCTTAATCTTTGAAGTAGGCAACTTCTTCAATTTCTCTATCCCCTCCTCCGGAGCAGTTTCCTCAGGTGTGGC